GGAGTCTGAGGCAAGAGAATTGCCTGGACCCAGGAGACGGAGATTGCAGTGAACTGAGATTGCACCACTGCACTATAGCCTGGGTGACAGTGTGAGACTCTGTCTCAAAAAAATAAATAAATAAACACAAACAAACAAAAAATCCAAGAAATATGAGGGGTCTTGAAAAAGTTTGTGGAAAATGCATATTATGAAAAAACTATGCATGGATTTCAAAATTTTTTGTACCAAAATAAACTCCTACTAACTTGTTATAACACATCTGAACAGGATCTAGTTTGAAGCACTAAGAAGAATAAGACATCAGTTTGAAAAGAGGCTCTGTCAGAGCAACACGAATTCTGCTAAAATTGAAGCAAGAACAAACATCAAATTTATGTTGATGCTTGGGTGGGGGAATTGTGAACTAATTGATACTTTATGAAAAGTTTATTGGGACAATGCCCCAAAGAAATCAGTTTACAAATGGATAACTCATTTTAAGAATGGATAAGGTAATCTTGAAGAAGAAGCCCACAGTGGCAGATCATCCACATCAGTTTGTGAGAAAAAAAAATTAATCTAGTTCATGGCCTAACTGCAGAAAACCAACAGTTTATAGCAGAAACGACAGTCAACACCATAGACATCTCAGTTGGTTCACTTTACACAATTCTGACTAGAAAAATTGAGCAAACTTTACACCCGATAGGTACCAAAACCATTGCACCCAGATCAGCTACAGACAGGAGCAGAGCTTTCAGTGGGAATTTTAAATAAGTGGGGTCATGATCTTGAAGGATTTCATTGAAAAATTGTAACAGGAGATGAAACACGGCTTTAACAGTGCAATCCTGAAGACAAAGCGCAATTAAAGCAATGGTTACCAAGCTATGGAAGTAGTTCAGTCAAAGCACAAGTGGACTGGTTGAGAGCAAAGCTCTCAACAGCTTTTGGATGCTCAAGGTATTTTGCTTATTGACTTTCTGTAGGGCCAAAGAATGGTCACATCTGCTTATTAGGAGTGTTTTTGAGACACTTAGCCAAAGCTTTAGCAGAAAAATGTCCGAGAAAGCTTCACCAGAGAGTTGTTCTCCACAATGCTTCTACTCATCTCTCTCATCAAGGGCAATTCTGCGAGAGTTTTGATGGCAGATCACTAGGTATCCACCCTATAGTCCTGATTTGGCACCTTCTGATGTTTTGTTTCCTAATCTTAAAAATTTTTTTTAAAGCTGTACATTTTTTTTTCAGTTAATAATGTAAAAAAAAGAAAAAAAAAAAACTGCATTGATGTGGTTAAATTCCTAGAACTCTCAGTTCTTTATGGATGGACTGAATAGCTGGTATCATCACTTACAAGTGTCTTGAACTCCATAGAACTAATGTTCAGAAATATAGTTTATATTTTTGTCTTTTAATTCCATTTTCCAGAAACTTTCTGAAGTCTCCTTGAATATACACCCTTTGTAGAGGGGAAAAATTCTTGTGACTGTTTATACTGACTTACTGCTGACTTAATTTTCTATTTTGTAATATGTACAAACTTAAAAGTTGATACAAATTTGGTTTATAGCCCTTAAACAAATTTGTGAAATAAATGCATTCAGAAACAAACTAAACCAACATTCATGGAATGGATGCTACTGTTTTACTGAGGTGTAAAGGTGGTACTGGCTGCTATGGAAAAAGTTACATATAAACAGTCATGTGCCTTGTGATTGCTTTGTCTACAACTTCACTCTTTGTGGACCTAAAAACTATTGAAATGAGGGGAGGGGATCTGAACTCCTGAAAGAATGTCAACTGGGCATGGAGGCTCATGCCTATAATCTTTGCATTTTGGGTGGCCAAAGCAGAAGGATCCCTTGAAGCCAGCAGTTCCAGACCAGTCTGGGCAACAAAAAGAGACCTGTCTCCACAAAAAATAATTAACCAGGCATGGTGGTGTGTGCCTGTAGTCCTAGCTACTTGGGAGGCTGAGGCAGGAGGATCACTTGAGCCCAGGATGTTGAAGCTACAGTGAGCTGTGATCACTACTACTACACTCCAGCCTGGGTGACAGCAAAACCTTGTCTCTAAAAAAAAAACTAGAATGGTTTTGTGCTATGCAGATCCTAATATGAAGAATTACCCATTAAATTCTCTGCAAACGTTCTTGTAACTCAAGTGAGCAATTTGTGGTTTTTTTTTTTTTTTTTTTTTTTTTTTTTTGAGACGGAGTTTCACTCATGTTCCCCAGGCTGGAGTGCAATGGCGCGCTCTCGGCTCACCGCAACCTCCGCCTCCTGGGTTCAGGCAATTCTCCTGCCTCAGCCTCCTCAGTAGCTGGGATTACAGGCATGCACCACCATGCC